TACACGATTCTCTATTTACATGATCCACTATTTACACGATCTTCTATCATGTCCTTGACAGAACTGGTATAGTTATTGCAGAGCCTTCTCCAGCGTGCCAATATGTTACCTACGGATCCATCCATATTGCTGAGTTATGATCGCGACATTCAAAATTATCACATTTGTTATTACCGTTTCGTACTGAATCATTAATCCGCCGAGAAGAAAGAAGATTGCAGGAAGGACGGGCGCCTTTTGCATCATGCAGGACTCTAAAACCAAAGGTCACGTAGGATAACGCGAATCCGTGAGGCCTGCGCGTTCTGTGATAAAACATAAGTACACCGAGCTGGGTCTCGTTGCTTTCCTCTCAGTCTATGTTAAACAGTTATTTGCAACGTTGTTACGGTCGTGACGGTATGTGTGCATCTGCATTAGTTGCCCGGTGTACTTTATGCCGCGCAGGGCACGTTAATCGAACTTTAAGTACACGCTAGGCCGAGTGTGTGATTGAGCACGAATGTTGTTTGAGAATCGACATTAATGATTCCAACGAAAACGAATACATTAACGGCGAGATATACAAATGTATGCGGAATCGAGGCTCGGCGCAGGTTCCCTCTCGTTCCGGCAAATGCGCACTTAAGTCCTGAAATACATTAATTAGAATTATGTAATGGGGCGACCGGTCGTTGGCTTCCACTTACCATTCCAGTTTCATCGGCTATCATTGAACGATTATTTGCGCGGAAGATCTTTCTTCTCTCTGGACTTGAAATTAGTTGATTAAAATCACAGTGGGCTAGAATCATAGCGGTCGAAGTCACATTTTCGAAAATGTTGGCTTATCTCTTAAAACGTAATCTGTAGATGCAGAGGTGTTGAAAAGACGAGTGAAATCAATTATAAAGTTATTATAAATCAACTTAACACTGAATTATCTTAACGAAAGATTGCAGTAAACAATACACGTAAACAATAACATTCCTTGTTTCTCACAATCAAGAAAATGTGACTGACGTGTCATGTTCTACAAGAACAAGAGAACTGAATTCGTGTAAACTCTTCGCCATTTTTATTATAACGTACGCTTGATTCAGGAAATTTGTTCCATTATTTTCTGCGAAAGTGTCTCCAACAACTTCGAAATAAGAAATGTGAAGCCGGTGATTTTGGTCGCCATGGTAGGCTTAGTCTTAAAATGAAAAATATGTAATCGTTCATTCTGATCGGCGCGGTAGATTTAGTGTGAATAAATCGCAAACACGTTTATAAAGCCTTCAACTTCAAGCACCTTCAACTTCGCACATAAACGTCTTTGTCCCAATCAAATTCTCGTGGCAAAGAAAGTTTGGTCGAACTTTCTACTAGTTTATGAATGTATACAGTGACTCGCATTAATATTTTTTGTTTGTTTATGATAGTATTATTGAATCAATTGTTTTCTCATATAATAAAGCACTTCTTAAACTAAGTAGAAACATAAATTTTGTTTATTTATTGCACATGTTCTTTTGTATAATAAGCGATAAACAAGATTGTACTTGTCTGTAGGTGTAAATGAACTAGTTTTTATCGGTGGTATTATGGACAAAATGAAGTATTTGGACATTTAAAAAAAAAATTTAATTACAAGTGCTATAAATATGGGTATACGTACAGTTTGAAGTTTTATCAAGACAATGATCCTAAACGCAAGGCCAGAATTGTACAGGAAAATATATTATACAATTGTCCAAAAGTACTGCATCCTCCTCCTCAATCGCCTAATTTAAATCCAATTGAAAATTTATGGGATCAATTGTACCGCAAAATTCGTACAACACCTACAAAGACAACAACAAAGATAAAACAACGTTTGTTAGACGAATGGAAACGGATTTCGCCGGATTATTTAAATAAAATCATCTGTAACATGCCCAAGCGATTGCATGAAGTAATAAAACAAAAGGGTCAGCCGACAAAATATTAATATTATTATAACATGATTAAAAAGATTCTCATTTTATATAAAATTAATGTAATTCATTCACTGTCCGAATATTTTTGCGACGTTAAATTTTGTCACAGTCTTGTTTATCGCTTATTATACAAAAGAACATGTGCAATAAATAAACAAAATTTATGTTTCTACTTAGTTTAAGAAGTGCTTTATTATATGAGAAAACAATTGATTCAATAATACTATCATAAACAATAAAAAGGAGCAATAATTCTTCTAACAATATCGTGTCCGAATATTAATGCGAGTCACTATACCTGTGACCCGTATCTATCGACACTACTCGAAAGTTCAACATCGAAATAGCGCTAAATGGCACGACTGCGTATCTCGAAGACCTTTAGTGCCTTTGCGAAGTCGCGAACAAGCTTGATAACGCAGAAGACGAGGCAAGGTAAAAGTACTTGTTATGGTACGCTTTTCAGGGTGTAAGATTATCATCGATTTTATTACAATTGATAAGCGTTACTGTTGAATATTTACACTATTATTCGACAAATGGATGTTTGTAGATATTTATTTAACACGAATAAAAGATAATACGAGTAAAATAGTAAAGTACAAGCATGTACTTATTTTTTATGGAACATCGTTTTGTAGAATTGAGTGTACACAATATGGAACAGTATGTTTTTGCTTAAAAACATCCATATTCGAATAAACATTATTTTTATAGCTGATCGCTACATAACAGTATTCTGGCCTCCTTATCTAAATTGTCATAATTATCATTTCTGATCATCGAAAAAATGAAGCTTTAAATGAATAAAATCATTTTCAAATAAGTGAAAACAAATAAATGGAATTACATTTGGAATTCTATGATGTACATAGAATATCCCAGCTTTGCTTAAAGGTAGATAAGATATTTTAACAAAATAACGCTAGTATTTCTGCGAGTGAATTTATAAAGAACAATGTTCAAAAATATGGGTAGAATTTTTATACCCACTTTTGTTATCTATATTTTCGTTACTGTTTCGAGGAGGCGTCACGATTGAGCGGTGTTTCATAATCGGTGCGTTTACCTTATCAAGGATCGATGAAAACAACTGCTGTTATCGTGGAGAGTCGGCAGAAAGCATCGGCTCCGGTCGGGTTCAGTTTTATTAGCCAAAGGTCTTCTGTTTTATTCACAAGTGACGCACGTGCACGTGGTCGCGTTCTTCGGCTCGTGTGAAATTATTCAGACGCCGGTTCCGGCAATGGTTGAGCAGGATGTGTGCGGGTGGTTTCGCCCGGACCCGGCCGGTTCTCTAGTTCGGTCGCGTTTACACCCGCGCCGGGTAAGGGTCTCCGATATTTTCGCTCCCTTAAAGGTGCCTCCTTTTTCCGTTCCTCGGTCTATCCTTATCGCGGCGTATTCGACGAGGGGGGATACACGAAAGTTCACTTTGCACGGCGTGTCAAAGGTTCCCCCCGGGGATCCGCCGTAACCCGCGTTCACCGTTCTCCAACTGGGCTTTAATTGCTAACACGATAAACGGACGTCAGGTTGCGCCTCCTCTTCTTTTCAACTGCTCGCCTAGGGAGCGGATATTCCGCGTTTTCGACAACCGGCTATCTTGTCCGGTGAAAGGAGATATTACTTTCCTTGCCTCGTACCTCGGCTTGATTCACTTTCGTTGCGCTTTCGATGCCTGCGAGAAAAGCGATCTCAAAATCAAATTCTTGTTCAAACGAAACGTAAATCGAGTTCTATTAACCTTCTATAGCTCCGTGTTACTTCAACAAGTCACGTGTGCTGATTTATCGTTCCGTTTTAATGTATCTTCACTTTTAGCTACTATGTGGTATAAATATTTATTACATTAGTGGAGTGTATTTGCCACACCACATTTACTAAAATATATTATACATCTTATTCAAACGTCTAGTAAGATATAAATATCACACAATTATACAGGGTGTCCCAGGTTTTAATGTTCAAACTTTGTCGGTATATTCTATGGCACAAAGTAAGAAAAAAATGTTATGTAAGCATAGGTCATATAGAGCTTTATTAACACTTTGACGGCCGCGCGAGGAACCTCAGGAGTTTCACAAAATTAAAGTATTTAATACAATTGAATTAAAATTGCAAAACAAAGTTATATGACATCAGTTACATTTTTTAGCATTCTTACCTCTTGCAAATCTTAATAAAACTGAGAAACTAGAATGGATTAGCGTGAAAGTGAATTTTAAAATAATTCCGTAACCCACGTATGGATGACGCGGCAGTCAAAGTGTTAAGAAGTTATAATAAAAATTCAGAATAGGAATAGTAATCAACTAAAAAAAAAATAAAAAATAAAAAAGAAACTTCGATCGACATCAATCATGTATTGTCAACAACGGTTATTAATACATTTCGAAATGTATTAATAACCGTTGTTGACAATACATGATTGATGTCGATCGAAGTTTCTTTTTTATTTTTTATTTTTTTTTTAGTTGATTACTATTCCTATTCTGAATTTTTGTTATAACTTTTTAATAAAGCTCCATATGACCTATGTTTGCATAACATTTTTTTCTTACTTTGTACCATAGAATACACTAACAAAGTTTGAACATTAAAACCTGGGACACCCTGTATATATATATATAAAAATTTTGCATCTTAATGTTCAGATCTTCCTTTCGTGCGTCAGAATGAATTCGCTTTTATTAACATTTATAAATTCGTTGTTAAATTATAGCAACCGTATTATTTTACATAAATTGTTTTGAACCCATATAAACAACTGGGGCTATGTATTTATTAAATATTTAAAAATTAAATATTTATATATATATGTATAGTTTTCCTTTCGCTTCGAATGATCCGACATTTCACCTGAACACGACATTGGAATGCATCTGAATGACTAGATACGGGACAAGAAATTATCTGATAATTACAAGAACAACGTATAATGATCGTGTCGACGCAAGCAGCTTATTACATATTCTCAACAAATTGACTTTCATCAGTTTCCACAAAGATTGTTCACCAGCGCATGTATCTAACGGATTTCTTTCATTATTTCAGGTTTTATCTCGTGTTCGCCGAGCCCCTGCAAAAACGGAGGAGTGTGCATGTCATCGCCGCGCGGCGAGGCGCATTGCAAGTAAGTGCACACGCAAACACACACACATATACATATATATTTCACCATTCCAATTATTGTAATAGCGCGTTGTCATAAGCCCAGAGCCCTATGGGGACCTTAAGTGTCGTTTGACGCGCGTGTCAAATGATTCTGCGCGAAACCGCGGAGTTCAGCTGCTTCGCAAACGGTTCGCCGCCTTGACGATCGACGACTCTCTTGGAGCATAGAAAGAGAAACAGTCTGCGAAGAAGGGAACTAAAGATAATGTGCATACAAGGGATAAGGGTGGGAGCACCAGGGGAAGGGGAGAAAGAGAGGCCAAGAGAACCGGACGTTGCTTTGCGTCCCACGCGGAAAAGACAAGAAACAGAGGAAACACCAAGAAAAGGGACGTTGCGGAGAATGAGAACGGAAGGAAAGATAAATGAATTTAAGAATACTCTAATCGAGATTGATGGCCCTTTCATTTCGCCTCTTTCCTTGCCGGCGACGGCGCCTTTTATCGTTTTTCTGTTATTATCTCTGTTTTATTAGTAGATGTAAAATTGATTGCGTTACAGTTTTATTTTATTTTTGGTAATTTTTACTGTGGAAATAGCTCACGCTCTAGTGGATCACTGAAGGAAGATACCGTACTATTTTACTGTACTATTGTTCCACTTTCTGTACCATTAATTAACAAGGTGTTTCATTATTTTAAAAAAATCGATATATATGTACGGGACAGATTCTTTTAATACAAAAAGTTTGAGAAGATTTACGAAGAATAGAAAGAAAAAAGAAAGAAATGTAGTATAAAGGAAATAGAAAAGTAAATATAATCATGATAATGATAATGAATATAAATTAATGGTAATAAAAGAGAAAAGCAAAAAACAGTAATTGATAATAATAATAAATATTAATATTATATATAATATATATTAATATAATAATAATAATAATAATAGTAATAAAAATAACACAAAAAATAATA